AAGAGATTACAAAGTCTGACAAAACAGTGATAATGGGAGACTTCAGCTGCTAGCACATTGACTACGTGACGGGGTGTACCGGGCCATTTGAGGCTCTCTGCTAAAGGCCCTTCAGTCCGCCCACACACCACCCCAGGAAAAGGAGCAGTGAAGATGGGTCCTCCAGGCCCTCCGAGAATGGCTGCTTCCCTGCAGCCTGTCAGAGCTCACAAGGCTCAGATAAAAGGAGTTACAGGGCTCAGCAGAGCGCTGGCTGGGCCTAGAAGGGGGAAGAAGGAGTGGAAGGCTGTGTGACTCCACAGGCTCAAGCAGCGATAGGACTGTGCAGTTTTCAAGGTTCAGAGACCTGGAAGAGAGAACCTGAATAAAAGGGGGCCGAGATTATTACAAGCTCCCCAGGCAGAGAGGAGACCCTGAGAAATCAGGACAGAGACTGAGAAACTCTCCAGGCAAGCAGGCAGGGGAGAGACCCTGCTCGAACAAGGAACAGACACAGAACCCAAGAAAGTGATAAGACAAAGTGGGAAGCAGCCCAGGGAAGGCAGCAATAGCAGCTAGTAAAGAAAGCAGCACATGGCTGCTACTTGTAGGGTCCCTGGATTGGAACCCAGAGTAGTGGGTGGGCCCGGGCCCCCCACTGGCAGGGTGCCCAAAGCCCCAAGAAAGGGACGAGTTTCATTTTGGACCCCAAGAAAAGGGCTGGAGTTTAAACAGGCCTGGAGATGGGGATGAAGACCCCAGAGAAAGCCAACCATTTGTTGGCCTGTGTTACCCCGGATGGGGTTCCTTTGTGCATCTTTAGATTATGCCTGACTTAGCCGGAGGGCTGAGCCACCAAAGAACCACCTGATGAAGGCAACTGCCAACAGGGAGCACTAGGAACAGAAAAAGGACAGAGTGCAGGCTTGCACCCAGCTGACAGGAGGCGCTCACAAGAGGCGAGTGTCCCCCCGCCCCCATCACAGACTGACACTTGTGCGCAGAAAGACAAGATGTGGGGGTGGGGTTTATGTATTTTACTGGATCAACTTTTGTTGGTGAGAGAGACACGCTTTTGTGTTTACACGGAGCTCTTCTTCAGGGCTGGGAAAGGTACTTAGTGTCACAGCTCAACACTGTTCAGCCTTG